GAATGGCTCCAGTGGGCTTGCTCATGTGTTTGCCACGAAGCTGTAACAGCTTCATGGGGCCTTTCCGTGGTGAATGTCCTTTCACAGGAGGGATCAGGACTTCCTTCCTAACTCTCTTTAAATGGACCCCAATCTTCCATTACAGCTTTAATGGCTGGCCTGTGTTTCAGCATTTGTCATTATAAGGGACAGAATCCAATGTTGCTCTTGTGCATAAGGCTAGCCCTGCCAGTTCCTTCTTGGAATGGAATCTGAATGGCGCTGTTTAAGTTAGGTGCTCTCATGACCACTTATACATCTTCTCTGGACAGTTATCTATATATTGAAACCACCTGAAGAACTATCTTTTTAAAGTCCTTAATGACTGTGGGCAAGATGAACTGCACAATCCTATCATTTTTAATTGGATTCTGATGCATGATCCCATTTCAGGGATGGGCAGAGCGCAATCTTAAGTTAAACTTGTTCATTTATTTATTAAAAGCCTTTCTAACCCATCCACTACTAGTGTCTCAGGATGGCATACAATTCCAAAAGCATGCAGAAGTTTCCAGATTCAGTTCCTGGTATATCCACGTAAAGCAGGGGTCTCAAACTCGCAGCCCGCAGGCCAATTGCTGGGATGGGCAGGGCATGGGGGAGGGGCCCCGTGGCCTTCAAAGCACCAGAGGCACTCGAGCCGGCCTCTGGATGAGCGGCCCACCACCACCGTGGTGGTGGAATACTTGATGCGGCCCAGCCTCATCCAGACTCTATTTCCAGTGGCCCCCAGGTAAGTTGAGTTTGAGACCCCTGACTTAAAGGGTCCAGATAGCAAGCTACATGAGGCTTCTGAAGTTGGCGATATGTTGGTGACATACAGGTATGTGAGGGGATGTCACAGGGAGATGGGTAGAGACCTGTTCTCCCCTGCAGAGGAAGGCAGGATGCGCTCCAATGAAGCAAAGCTCAGAGGGCCAAGGTTCCATTTGGATGCCAGGAAGCACTTCCTGACAGTTAGGACCCCGAGGGTGTGGAATGGGCTTCCACAAGAGGTCATTGAGGCCCCATCGGTGAGGGTATTCAAAGACAGGCTGGACATGCACATGGTGGGCATGTTGTGAGCAGAGCTGGCTGGTGCTGGAGGTCAGACTAGATGGCCTGGGAGACCCCTTCTGACTCGCTCTGTTTCCATGTTTCTATGAAGGCCAACGCTAGTCAGTGCCCACAGTGCCAGACTAGATGGACCAGCGGTGCGGTTCAGTGCAATGCAGATTTCGGTGTTCATGGGATAGCTGTGCAGGCTCAGCTCAAACACTGTTTGTTCTTTACTGACATGCCTGATTACATGCATCCAACCCGCTGGCCTCTGCCTTCGCTCCTCCACTCCATCACACTAACTAATGATTAGCAATAATTGTTGAGAAAGTGGCCTGTTCTCCCAGTTTGAACATGAAGGTTTGGCAAAAGGAGATAAATCGAGATCCACAGTCCTACAATAATGAAAACTTCAAGACGGCTAAAGATAAAGTTGTCCTGAAGGGCATGAAGTTGATGCTGACATCCTGGTGATCGCTGCTTATAATACAGAGAGGTTGGAGTTATTTCTTTTCTACAGCCATTGCTCCCTGAGCTCTTGCGCTTCTTGCCTGCCTGAAAGGCACCTTGGTGGTGTTTTTCTGCGGAAGATTGCTCTTTTGCAGTAGAAAGAAACTCTCAGAAACTAATGTAAGATTTGCACTTGGCTGCTGAGCACTCTTTGAGGTTGTGCATCACACTGGCAAAACGGGGACAGCTGGGGACTGAAGCAAGTTTTCTAGCTTGGCTGTAGGCATCCCTATGTGCAATGGGGAACCTTTGCTTGGAATTATGTTTCTTTCCTGCAAAAGACTGGCTTTAAAGTTCCAGTCCCTGCTCCTCCAGTGCTTGTGTCGCTTTGCCAAGCATGCTGCCGTCGTATCGGCCCACAGAGAGGCCGCTGCGTTGTTTTCAAGCAGTGAGTGCAGATGGATCATCCAATCAGGGCGATGGATCATCCAGTGGGACCACTTTTGCTCATGTCCATTCATAATGAGGGCATTCTATCTTGGGAGGTGGGAAAAGATAGCTGAGTTGGCATTTGAATGTGAATTTAACTAATTTCACACATTTGAAGCAATAAATGAATTAAAGCACAGTCTTCCTGTTAAAGTTTCACTCTTCCAGATTTTGTAATGGAGTTCTCCAATCAATACACGTACAAAAAAGTGCATGCGTGAAATTGTGCTATATTAAGAAAACTGTTTGCAAACAAATGCTTGTATTAATTAATACATTCCCTAATTGCTGAGGGTCTCTGGGAAGTTAACAAAAGTTATAATTAAACAAAAGCTAAAACGACACAGACATTACAAAAAAATTAAAAAAACAAAACCATAATTGCAATTGTTATTATTCAGCACAGAAGCACAGCAGCAGGACATAAATAAAATGGGATATATAAAAACAAAGTTAAAAAGTCAGCTGGCTAAAATGCTGGGGAAATAAAAAGGTCTTCACCTGGTGGCAAAAGGAATACAAAGTAGATGCCAGGAGACCTCTTTATAGAGCTCATTCAAAAACAGGGAGCCACAACCAAAAAGGCCCTCCTCCTGGTAACCACCCACCTCCTCCTGGAGATGGATCCCTGGAGATGGCCTCAAGTTCTGGCTAAGTACATATGGGAGGAGGTGATCCTTCAGGTAACTTGGCCCCAAGCCATTTAGAGCTTTGAATGGCAATGCTAGCACTCTAAAATGGGCCCGGACAGGCTGACATAATATGTTCTCATAAGCCAATCCCCATTCACAATCTTGCTGCTCTATTTTGGATCAGTTGCAGTCTCTGGACCATTTTCAAAGGCAGCCCCACACATTGCAGTAATCCAAATGATAGGCATATCATGAGTGGAGCCAGCTGGAGTCAGGGGTCAGACTAGATGGCCCAGGAGACCCCTTTTGACTCACTCTATCTCTAGGGCCATCTAGTCTGACCCCCATCAATCAAGTAATGAAAGAGGGAAGTCTTGCTGAGCTGAGTTGAGCTGACCTGAGGACAAAATCCTGAGGTAGCCAGGAATCATCCTATTGAAGGAAGAACCAGGAGAGAGGATAGCTGTGAGGGATCTATCCCACTTCTCCTAAGCTGGCTTGTCAGTTCCCCTACCTGTGACCACACCAATGGAGGCACCTCCTTGCTCCCCCAAATCACCTGGATGCACAATTAAAATGGAAATGGCTTAAGCAAACCAACCAACCCAGGTGCTATGCCTCCGAGCGAATCAATGGCATTGTTACGAGACTGTCCTCCTCCCATGCGATCCCACAGTAGTCCCAAAGTGCTCCCTGAACAGGGACCAAACAGACTGTGTCCTTTGGCACCGCCTTTCAGCCCCTGCCCAGTTCTGCTGCCAGTCTTCCACCCCCGAGTCGGCTGCTGCTGGTGAAGGCCCTGCCCCTGGAGCGTAGGAGCTGCATCTCCAGCTAGGAGTAGGGGGCTACCCCACAGAGAAGGTGGGCATGGAGGGCAGGGGAGGCAATACCCCCACCTTGTTTTAAGCAGAATTTTGCACAAACTGTATATACATATACATTTCTAAACTGTATATAGAAAAATCCTTGCAATTTTTGGTGCAAACTTCAAAAATAACTGTCAAGTTTAGAACAAAAAATGAACTTGAGCTTGGAATCATAAAAAAACAACTGACAGATTCATGCCTCCCTCCCCCAGTTCTGCATTAATGGACTTAAAAAGAAAAAGAAAGTGAAGTTTTTATTCTGAGATATATATATTTGAACATGCTTTCACATAAAATACACATTTCCAATGTATCTTCTCAAAAATGCATTTGTAAATTTATTTGCTCTTGAAGCATACATTTTAAGTATAAATATACTCTGAAATAAGCATTTGAAATGCATTTTAAGAACATTAGCTTAAAAGTGCATTGCAAACTTTAGAGGAGTGCAAAATACAAAGGATGATAGTGTTTTAGTGTGAACAAATATGGATGTCCACTCTGAAAAGTGGACCAAACTTAATCCTTGAACAGTGCTATGACATAGTTGTTATTATGAAGTAAAGATCATTTTCCTCAGCAGTAGAAATTGGTACTCTCCTTTCTATACCACAGTTATAGGGGGTAATCATGACGTATTTAAGAACATAAGAAGATGCTTGCTAAGAGTCCCTCTATTCTGGCATTCTGTCTTCTGCTCATGCACTATGCATGTCACCACTGCATCTTGTGGCAGGGAGTTCCAAAAGTTAATGGCACATTTTGTGACAAATGAGTTGTTCCATCTGCCCTGCTTCTACTGCCAATCACTATCAGTGCAAGTTCTAGTGTTATGAGAAAGGGAGTCCTATGTCCCTCTGATTTCTCTGTGTCCCTGGCATCTACCAAACCCAAGGCCCAAGGGCATGTTGGAAAGGCATATAAGGCAATCATCTTACTGAAGCTAAGTGGTCCTCGGTTTGGTCAGTGCCTGGAATGGGGATTCATTGGGGATGGGGAGAGAAATTCTGCATACTGAATGTGTTTTGACCGCTCCATGTGGATCTCTATCTGTATGATGGAGGGATGGAAGCATCAGTAAGGCTCAGATCTTGTTCCAAAATGTGACCTTTTTAAAAGTGCACATCCAGATACATACTTCTTACCTTACACTAATGTATGAAAATGCATTTTGTTCCAAATGCATTAAAGTACACAGTTTGCTAATTTTGCAATCAGAAGCTTGGGGGTATGTGGATTTTCTCCCAAATTTATGTTTGTGTCCCCATTTGTCTTCCAGGGTATGGACAGGGCAATTAATCACTTGAAATGAAATCCTTGAACATCTGCAGTAAAATGGCATAGACATTGCCAACTGTGTGAATCAAGGCTCTGACAGAGTCAGAAAAGGCAACTGCATTTCAGGAGTATCTCTTCATTAAGGGAAATTCTTCCAAACAGGACTTAGAACGCCTGGCATCCAACTCACACAAAGAAATAGCCATACCTTGGAATAGGTTGCTCCATTGATGACTTCTCCTTTCCGCATCCAGATAATGGATGCAGCTGGCTTGGCATTGTCGGCATGGCAGGTCAGGTTCAGGGGGTCTCCAGCTCGCAAGCTAATAACAGGTCCACCAATAATTATTGGGTCATCGGGAGGCACTGTGAAGAAAGCAAAGCATGTTATGCTTTACCAGACTCCATACGACTCCACCAGATTATAGAAAAGATAGGAAACGCAGATCCAGGAGAATGAGCTTCACACACAGTGCTACAATGGTGCCAGGACCCGCAGGTGTGTGAAGAACCCAATCTGGGGATGGGAATCTGTTGGATTTCCTTAGCTTGCCTCTGGACTGCTTTCCCTCCGTGCGTCTGCTTTGCACCAAGTGTTTGCATGGGCATCCAGCAGGAAGTGAGTCCAGGCAAGTCAGGGAGGCTGGCTCGCACACATGCTACTTGTATGCTCACTGTGCAAGCAGAATTCTGCTTCCATGCACCTGGGCACTTTGCATACTTGGGCCAAAGAAGCCACTAGCATTCCCAAGCACTCACAAACATGCTTATGGCTCCACTCAATTCCTAGGGCTGAGCATGGGAAAGAAGCCCAGTAAGCACAAGAGGGACAGATTCTGGTCTGATCATCACATCCCTGATCACATGCACTGAGACTTTCTAATCAGCAGGGACAATGATATCATCTACCACACCATCTTTGGTTCCCTGTCTTCTCTGAGCTTAGGTACCATCCTCACAGTAACTGGGGAGAAATGGATTTTCCCAGCACCAACATGTTGCTCCAGAGACCTGCTCCTAGTGAAGATGAAAAATGCAGAATGGTATGATGACAGGGATTGACACAATGGCTTGGTTCCTTCCTTCCTTCCGTCCTTCCTTCCTTCCTTCCTTCCTTCCTTCTACATTCCTTGGAGACATGGGGCTTAGGGATTGTCATGATGAGTATCTTCCCCTACCTACCCTTACACCATGGATAACACTACGTGTTAAAATCAATCCAGATAAGGCTGCAGCCAAATAAATGTTTTTAGCAGCAGCTATTTTGTCAATAGTGCAATAACAAGGTGATGTGAAACGATGATGCATTGAATTATAGTTTGGGAAGGATACACATTGTACAAAGGAAATGTGCTGTTGCCAAAGAAAGAGATACATAAAAGAAGGTTCAAAGGAAAAGCACACTTTGATGATACATTTGTTCACACAAATAGGGAATCTGGTTAAGGAAAGTTGTATTTTTTTCCAAGTTCAATGGCTGTTTATGTCTGGCATCATTATTCTGATGTACATTCCTAATTTATGAGGTCAGAACCAGAGAGTGGTATTCATTCTACGGAAATCATTACAGAATGTTCAAAATGTGCACGTCTTCTGAGGGAAGCTTTCATTGTGCAGTGTGTGGCTTCTAACGTGGATGGGATTGTGGAAACTGAAGAGTTGGACTTGTTTTTAAAATGTCATTGTGGCTATGAGAGCTTCCTCTTTGTAGCAAAGAGGTGGCATCTGGCTCAGCCCCTCTCCATAACAATGAAGCAAAGGGAGAGGAATATTCTTCTTCTCTTAGTATAATCTTCTGTTATGGTCAGCCTGGAGGGGCCCATCTTACCAACTGACTGCTTCTTACCCAGGCCCAAAGAAGGATGCCTGCATTTTTCCATTAGTTGCAGCTCTTTGCAAAAACCAAAGGTCAGGTCACCTGGATTCTGGCACTGTAGTGCAGATGTCCTGCCGGAAGCACCTCCACTTAGCAAACCTATTGAACAGTAAACTTCCAGTTCCCTAAACAAGGAAGACTCTTCTAGAGTCCTTCTTAGAGCTGGAGATGAATGCCCACTGGACAGTCAACTAACAAGAGATTCTTCTAAAATTTCTACCCAGGCTACAGGAGAGAGACTGAAAGAGACAGGCCACACTGGAAAAGAGCGATGGACGACTTTCTTTCTGGGTCTAGTGCTACCAGCATCTCTCCCAGGAAGCAGGAGGATATTTCACCAAGGATTTTCTTTAGAGCAGGTGCCCAGTTGTGGTTTTGTCAGATGGGTGGGAGGCAGACCTGACACGACCATCAGGTGAACCTCAGCACGGAAATGGTGGGCCTCTAAAGAACCAGGCGGGCACCTTGCACAGGGCAGTTTTCCTTTTTGTTTGTCGCCTGCCGCTGCATCGCCGTGTCAAACTACTTATTGCTTTGTGCTCACCATCTGACCAGCCTTTTTCCATTAGGTACCTTTTCCTGAATGTCAGTGGGGCAGGTAGTAGTCTGGGTTGCAGTCTGAATTCGGTGCTGAATCTGTTTTGGGGAAAGGGTTTGACACCATCGATGGCTCCTTTAAGGCTTGGATTAACACCCAGAGTGAATGCAGTGCCCCACTGACTCTGAAATCCTCAGCCTCCCCTCCTCTTGGCGATCCTTATCTTGGCTAGGCTAGAAGGGCAAAGATCAGATTAAGGCGAATCATATCTGGTCTGACTGAGTCACTTCTCCTTGTGCTTCCATTTGATGACATAGGGCAGGGCTGTCTGTGCCCAGACCCGTGAGTCAAATTTGTCCCATCTGGGATCCCAGTATGGCCCTTTTGGGGTTCCCAGGCAGCCATGCTCCTTTTGCTCAATTGCCAAATATCTGGTAGTTTTCTGGATTTTGCATTACTTCCCTCCCTCCCCTCTATACCAAATGCCCCTCCTATGACAACTTTTGCAGCAATTGCTTAAAGATAAAATATGCTGATATTCTTGGCACCATCAGTGAGGGTGTACAAGGATAGGCTAGACATGCACATGGTGGGCATGTCGTGAGCAGAGCCAGCTGGAGCCAGGGGTCAGACTAGATGGCCCAGGGGACCCCTTCTGACTCGCTCTGTTTCTATGTTTGGTACATCTGGCCCTGCATCTTTTGTCTTTGGCCTTGCATTTTTGCCTTCAGCTGCCCACTGGAATGTGTCCCAAGGGCATCTTTAGAACTGAAGTAGGAAGATATGTCTGGCAGTATGGTGGTTAACAGATGTAGTTACTATGTCCTGCAAGTCTTACCAGTTGCTGGATTTAAGAAAACTGACCTAGCTCTATACTTGCTCCCTGTGATTGTGGTTGTGGTTGTCTCCTCCCTTCAGTTATCTAAACCCTTTTCTGATCTTTCACACTTTCTGATCTTTCACACTGAGAGCCAGTGTGGTGTAGTGGTTAAGAGCGTGGGACTGGGACTCAGAGGATCTGGGTTCTAGTCCCCGCTCGGCCATGGAGCCAACTGGGTGACTTTGGGCCAGTCACAGGCTCTCAGCCCAACCTACCTCACAGGGTTGTTGTTGTGAGGATAAGATGGAGGAGGAGAATGATGTAAGCTGCCTTGAGCCCTTTGTAGAAAAAAGGCAGGTTATAAATTGAAAATAAAAAATAAATCTTGTTCTCACTTAGGAGTGTGCATGGGGAACCCTTGATCCTAACAGGGTCACTGGGATTGCTCTGGTTTTTAGCAACTCACGGAGCACATGCAGGGGGTGCTGCTGTATAAAACCCTTCTCCATCCATAGCTATAACATGCAGAGATGTCCCATGCTGGACTAAAATATTAAGATGAGAAATCCTCCATCAAAGCACAAAGCCCACCCTCTTTTATGTTCTGCTCCCTCTATTTCCCCGAGAACAGCATGTTATCTGTTCCTAAAACAAAGCTCAAGTAGTTGAGAACTGCCTCCTGCAGTAGATCAAACATAGCAATGCTTATTTATTTAATTTATTAATTTCATTTCTATGCCACCCAATCACCAAATGCTGTAATAGCCAAAATAATCAGGCTTGACTTGACAGTATCAGCACAGAGCCATGGAATTTTCAGGTTTTTTGTCACCTGTCAGTGGGAATTACAATGTCTTAGGTGATCGTGGAATGGTGGTCATTGGTGTCTAGATAATTTTATTCTAGAGCAATAGGGGCATTTCTTGTATCTAGAATATCCTTCCCCACAGTCAGTATAAAATATATTAAGAAGAGGAAAGCGAAGGACATCCAGGAGACATCCTTTCCATCAACACTTATTGGATGAAATCAGTTATATTTAAGGGCAACAAAAGTCATTTTTCCTCCTCTAAGAACACTGAGTCAAATGCTTTTATGGTTGTTTTCAAATTCTTACACAGTCTACCAGGCTATTTGCAGGCCATGTATGCTGGACATTGATGGCATCCATAGGTGGTCAATGGGCAATTTAGGCTTCAATGGGGTTTTCTGTGTTCAGGTTTTATTGACTGAGATGGTTTTAGACATTAGATATGAAAGCAAGACCTATTTCCTCCACTTTTTATATTTACCACCCTGTTGACAAGGCTCTCTTGCTGCGAAATACACATCCCGCTTTATGAAGGCTTTGGGGCAGGAGCAGTTACTCAGTCCACAAAGCAAAGGAAGGGATTTGGTCTAAAACAAAGAATGAAGGTAGCTGAATTATTTCAATGTATTTGAACCATAAATTGGACCTCCTGGCGATGGGCTGTCACAGCTGAACACTCCCAAAATTTCATGCTGCATGGTTTGTGTGGGTGTTTCTACAGAGTGCAGAATATCAGTTTTTGGGCTGGAACAAAAAGTCATATGAGAGAGAGAGAGAGAGAGAGAGAGAGAGAGAGAGAGAGAGAGAGAGAGCGCGCGCGCGAGCGAGCGAGCGCGCGCGCGAGAGAGAGAGCGCGAGCGCATTGCTGCTGCTTTGGTCTCTCTCTCCCCGCTATTTCTGGTAATGCTCAGAATAACACTATGTGTGACATTATTCATCACTCTGTATTTCTCCTGCCACCAACTCGCAGAACTAGCAACAATAATGCCAACACTCACATCTAGGCTTTCAAGCCTCAGCATTGAGGTAAGCACTAATTACTTCCTCAGATAGCAAAGGCAGGTGCTTCCATACCTACATTTGACCCTGGTAAGGCCATGAAGTTTCACTGAAAAAACTCAAATACTTTGGCCACCTAATGAGAAGGAAGGACTCACTGGAGAAGAGCCTAATGCTGGGGACAATAGATGGCAAAAGAAGAAGGGGACGGCAGAGGATGAGGTGGCTGGATGGAGTCACTGAAGCAGTCGGCGTGAGCTTAGCTGGACTCCGGGGGATGATGGAGGACAGGAAGGCCTGGAGGAATGTTGGCCATGGGGTC